CGCGGTGCGCGGGTCGCCGGCTGAAATAGCGAGGGTTCTGAGCGGCCGGTGGGCGCTTCCGTGCTTAAATAGAACTGCGTTTTCCTGCTTCAGACTTCTTGATGCAGAGAAGGGGACGGAAGGGTCTGGTATGGCGGTGGTGGCTGAAACGCTGGCTGTTGGGACCGAAACGCAAAAGGGGAGCGAGAGGTTCAGCCTGGAGAAGAGGAGGCTGAGGGGAGACCTCGTCGCCCTCTAGGACTGCCTGACAGGGGGCTGTAGCCAGGTGGGGGTCGGCCTCTTCTGCCAGGTGACAGGCGGTAGGACGAGGGGGAATGGCCTCAAGCTGCCCCAGGGCAGGTTTAGGCTAGACATTAGGAACAAAATTCTTCACAGAAAGGGTTGTCAGGCTCTGGAACGGGCTGCCCAGGGAGGTGGTTGAGTCCCCACCCCTGGAGGTATTTAAATACGGGCAGACGAGGTGCTTAGGGATGTGTTTTAGTGATGGGATGGCAGGGTTAGGTTAATGGTTGGACTTGATGATCTTAAAGGTCTTTCCAACCTAAACGATTCTGTGGTTCTAGGTGCTTCTGAGCAAGGGCTCGGAAGCCGAAAGGTTATTTATTTATGTATGTATTTACTTTTAAGCCGCGTGAGGTGACATACCAGTATAATCTTCTATGAGTTTTGCTTTACAGATGTTCCAGGGCAGTCCAAGCAGCGCTAACCCTTCTGCCGCAGGAGTTCTTTAGCAGCCTCGTGGCTAGGGCTGGATTTCCCAAAGTACGTGGCACTACAATTGAAATTTTTAGGCTAGGTAGAATTTTCAGGTTTTTTTTTTTTTTCCATTAAAAGGGTGGGACTGCAATACCAGTACTCAGGAGAGCAATGAAAATCTGCTGGATGCTAATGTTTCACTGTTAAGTACCTTCATGAGCGCCTGTTATTTGTGAAAACCCAGACACTTAAACGCCTCCACAGGAGGATGCAGGTGCTAAACTCTTGGCTGCTGGGTTATTGCTATAAACATCCACGAGGCCTGTCTAGTTTACAAAATTATGTCTACTGATACCATCTCATATCTCTCAGTCAGATATTCACCAGCTAAATAGTGGTTTAGTCGTCTGAAACTTTAAAATACAAGACTAAAGTTCTGAAGGGTTCAAAGAAGTCAAATGTTTCCATAGGTTGCACCAGTAAAATGAAATAGCAGATATCTCTGTGGCTTCTAGACAAAGTCTGAATAGAGTTAAGGTAGACCTTCCTCATTACCTGACTAATAATCACTAACAAGTCTTTGCCTTCAAGTTATCATCTCACTACCTCTGAATAAAGAATTGAATCTTTGTCTTTTCTAAAAGCAGTGATTTTATGCCTCACATAGCTTAAACCCCGCCATGGGGTGAGTAACCAGTGCACCACATCGCTAATTCTCAAAGCACAGCTTGACCGACCAAAGTTGCTTTGCGTTCACAAGCCTGTAAGCTTTGCTGTCGAGCAGCAGGTTCCTGTGGCCAGAGCAAGGCAGAAGGAAATGGGGGACATGGGAAGGCAATGCTAGGTCTGTGGTGGAGAGAGAAGTCAGTTTATGGTTCTGACATTTTCACATGTTCCCAGGTGAAACTTTGGTACCAAATCCGAGATCTTCAGCACCCAGGACTCTCTGTAGGAGCGCTGCTTCTCCCAGAGCCAGTTACATGGCACACAGGTTCAGCCAGGGCTGAAGGCTCGAGACATCGCTGTGTAACAAGAAGGGCAGAGCCTCGAAGCACTTTCATAGCAACAAACTGCAGCTTGTCCTAGCCGCCTTGGCAAAGTGAGAGGTAAATACCCACGCTTCTTCTTCTAGAGCATTTCCCATTGGACTTCAGCCTCTGTCTATTCAGATTCATAGGTATATTAAGTGATGGGTTGTGCCTGACATTAGGACCCTTGCAGAGCTGACACCTGACCGCTTCGTTAGCATCATAGCATCAAATTGCGATGTATTATAGTCCAAATGGTCAAAGAGCAGATATGTAAGAAATGTTTGGTGTTTTCTTCGGTGTGAATTCTGAACTAGAAGAAGAAAGAAACATGAAAATCTGTTATCTGAAGGCTGCTTTTCACAATGTCTTTAATGTGAGTTTTATACTTCTTTTATAACATACTGGAGACTGAAGAGTCCTGTTCATTCACAGGATAGACACGGCATAAAAGCACAGGTCCAAGGTTCCCCACTCTGCTCTGCCCCCAGGCAACAGCAGCAAGGACAACTGTATCTCTGGATGAGAATCAAATCTGGCATCCCGTTCGTGACGCTTTCCCTTCTGCTGGGTCTGGTCCGCATGATGAGAACTTTGCATTAGCTAAATCAGAGCTGTCGTGTGCACAAAACCATCTATGCCTAGGAAGTAGCTTAATTTTGCTAGGAAGTATCTTAATTTTGCTAGGCAGCAGTTGAATGGAAAACAAAAAGGAACTCAGTAGTAGTAGAAATAAAAATGGTGCTGGCAAGGAATGACTTAAGTTAAACTGGTGTGATGACCATCTCTGTTATACCAGGCTCAAGACAGTGAGAGTGGACATCCATGCTGAAGATGCTGGCTATTAGTCAGAAAAAATTAATTAAACTTCTACTCCATGAGACTGGGGGGACTGAATTTTTGAAAAATATGTAGGAGTGGCCTTGTTGTGAATGACTCGAACCCAAATGTAGGATGTAACTTTTACCAAGGTAAAATTGGTTGGCTGCCTGGGTAATAACATAAAAAGAAAACCTCACAGCTACGCAGACACTTCATCTGGACATCTAAGAGCACCGAAGACAACCGCTTTTAGCCTAATGCATGGATAAAGTGAGGCCTGGGATAT